TACATGAGGCCAAGCCCAAACACAAATTACAGCTGCATAAACCGAAAGCGCAACCTGAAAACTCAGACAGTAAACAATAACATCGTAATTACATAAAACATGTGAAAATATAACAGTATAAAATTACAATAAACACAATCACAGTGACAATGGGCAGGCTACATGTAAAATTTAAAAGGGAAAACTGATTAAAACTAATTAAAACTCGAGTGAGATAAAGAAGAAGCTGGTTATTTGCAGAGGAGGGCTCATTATAGAGGATGGAATCTCCTTTCTTGTAGTTTGAAGCCATTGTCCTAGTCTCCAGGGCAGCAGAAAACAAGCTTGCTCCCTCCACCCTATGACTTCCTCTCACATGGCTATCATGTCTCCTCTCAGCCTTCTCTTCTGCAGGCTAAACATGCCCAGCTCTTTAAGCCGCTCCTCATAGGGCTTGTTCTCCAGATCCTTGATCATTTTAGTTGCCTCTGGACACATTCCAGCTTATCAACATCTCTCTTCAATTGTGGTGCCCAGAATTGGACACAATATTCCAGGTGTGGTCTAACCAAGGCAGAATAGAGGCGTAGCACCACTTCCCTGGATCTAAGCACTATACTCCTATTGATGCAGGCCAAAATCCCATTGGCTTTTTTTGCCGCCGCATCACATTGTTGGCTCATGTTTAACTTGTCCACGAGGATCCCAAGATCTTTTTCACACGTACTGCTCTTGAGCCATGCGTCCCCCATTCTGTATCTTTGCATTTCGTTTTTTCTGCCTAAGTGGAGTATCTTGCATTTGTCACGGTTGGACTTTTTGTTAGTTTTGGCCCATCTCTCTAATCTGTCAAGATCGGTTTGAATTCTGCTCCTGTCCTTTGGAGTATTGGCTATCCCAATTTGGTGTAGTTTGCAAACTTGATGATCATGCCTTCTAAGCCTTCATCTAAGTCATTTCATGTTGACTTACATATGCTTACAGGTCACATGAAGAAACCATACAGGTAAAGGTGTTTTAATCTGCAGTGCCTTTGCAGTCCAGCTGTCTTCTGCCCATCATTTGAGCAGGAAAGGGGAGTTTAGCCTTTGCCTCTCCTGCTGTCCCAAGGAAAATCACTCTCCACATCTGCTGCTTTTTAAAACAGCTGTCGAAGGGGGATTTTCATCAGCATTTCAGGCAAAAGGGCTGACCTGCTTCCATCCTCTGACAGTCTGTGAACTGAATGAGGGAACAGCTGGGCAGCAGAAGGATCAGATAAAATTAGGGAGTGGGGTACCCCCCCCCCCCCCAATACACAGTGCACATTCTGAACTAGCAATAAATCAATGACTGTGTTTCTTGGGGACATCCTATTTGGTAGCTACAAATTGTAACCTCGATTCATTATATTGTTACTGTTGAGTATTGCCACTTACATTATTAATAACCAAACATGAGCCAACTGTTTCAGCCTGGCAGCACCCCAACTAAAGGGAATTTGAGACATTACTGACCAGGGGGTTGGGAAGTCACATCTGTGATGTATTTCTGACACACTGAGAGAAGTAGTTGTGGCTGAATCCTGGAAAGCTCTCCAACTGCCTATCTCTGTGACCTGAAAAGCATGGAAGATAAACTCTCTCACCATCCCAGACCCCTTTTACACAATTCCAGGATCTGATCCCAGATTATCTGATTTAAACTGGATTATAAGAGTCTCTACTGGAATCCCCAGTGGCACAGTGGGTTAAAGCACTGAGCTGCTGAGCTTGTTGACCAAAAGGTCGCAGGTTCAAATCCGGGGACCGGCGTGAGCTTCCGCTGTCAGCCCCAGCTTCTGCCAAGCTAGCAGTTCGAAAATATCCAAATGTAAATAGATCAATAGGTACCGCTCCTGCGGGAAGGTAACGACACTCCGTTCAGTCATGCCGGCCACACGACCTTGTAGGTGTCTACGGACGACACCGGTTCTTCAGCTTAGAAATGGAGATAAGCACCAATCCCCAGAGTCGGACACGTCTGGACTTAATGTCAGGGGAAAACCTTTACCTTTGCCTATATGAGACTCCACTGCCATATAAACTGAGATAAGAAGATAGACTGGGATCAGATCATAATATATAGGAGCAGTGTGGAAGGGGTCCCACTCTACAGTGCTCTAACTGTAGGGAGAGCTGTCTAACTGAATAATAATAAATAATAACAAATAATAATAAACTTTATTTATGGAGCTCCCGGTGGTGCAATGGGTTAAATCCCTGTGCGGGCAAGACTGAAGACCAACAGGTCACAGGTTCGAATCCGGGGAGAGGCGGATGAGCTCCCTCTATCACCTCCAGCTCCTCATGCGGGGACATGAGAGAAGCCTCCCACAAGGATGATAAAAACATCAAAATCATCCAGGCGTCCCCGGACGGCCAATTCTCTCACACCAGAAGTGACTTGCAGTTTCTCAAGTCGCTCCTGACACGATAAAAAAACTAACAACAACAACTTTATTTATACCCCGCCACCATCTCCCCAAAGGGGACTCGGGGGCAGCTTACATGAGGCCACGCTCATCAATACAGAAAACACAATATAAAACAAAAACACAACAGAAAATCAGAAAGGAAAATAACACAAAATACAAAACCAATGTAAATATGCAGCACAACCAGGCCCATAGCCAGGATTTCGATTTGGGGGGGGGGTGTGAGTTTTTTTCAGGGGGGGTTTCGGGGGGGCTGAGTTTCAGGGCGGGCTGAGTCTGAGTGAAAGAGGGTCTACCCTAGCAAACCTTTTGTATCATTACCCCAATACCCCCATGCATATGGGATATATTGAGTATGGTGATCAGATCATGATATGAATAAACATAACAGTTTAAATAATGCACCAGTAAGGCCTTTTCGCAAACCACCATGAGAATTTCAGGGGGGGGGGGGGAAGCCCCTCAAGCCCCCCCCCCCCCCCCCCCCCCCCCGGCTACATGCCTGAACACAACAATATAAAATCGAAACATTAAACCACTAAAAATGATCACAGTGGGCAGGGCCAGTTCAAAGATTAACATTTCAAAACACTGGGAGATAGGGCAGTGTAAAAGGTAGGTAACTGAAAAGGTTGGTTTTTGGTGATTGCATCATCAGATGTAAGTATGGAGACAAAGCTCTATTGTTAAACCTGATGGTGCAGAATCTCAATGTATTTACAGCCAGCCTTCTACATTTTGGGGGTGGTGGTGGTGGTGTTACAAATGGAGAACTCCTGCAAATGTGAAAAAGGTGAATACTTGAAAAAAAAAACCTCAGCTCTACAGGATTCTCTCAAGGCCCTTCTACACTACTGTATAAAATCCAGATTATCTGCTTTGAACGGGATTATATGCAGTGCAAACTCAGATAACCCAGTTCAAAGCAGATAATGTGAAGCAGGCCCGTAGCCAGGATTTTGTTAGGGGGGGGGGGGGGCTGAGTCTGAGTGAAAGAGGGTCTACCCTAGCAAACCTTTTGTATCGTTACCCCAATACCCCCATGCATATGGGATATATTGAGTATGGTGATCAGATCATGATATGAATAAACATAACAGTTTAAATAATGTACCAGTAAGGCCTTCTCGCGGACCACCATGAGAATTTCAGGGGAGCTCCCCCCCCCCCCCGGCTACATGCCTGATGTGAAGTATCTGCTTTGATAATCTGGATTAGATGGTAGTGTAGAAGGTGCCTCAGGTTGGATCTACACTGTCCTATATCCTGGGACCTGATCTCAGTTTATGTGTTTTGAATGGATTATATGAGTCTACACTGCCAGGTTTATTTATCATGTCAGGAGCAGACCAAACAGTTGCATTGCATTTTTAACAAACAAACAAACAAACAGAACACCAAGTTTGCAAGCTTGTTAGTTGATTAAATGTCTTTTGACCAGTATCTGGCCACTTGGAGTGCCTCTGGTGTTGCTACAAGAAGGTCCTCCATTGTGCATGTGGCAGGGCTCAGGTTGCATTGCAGCAGGTGGTCAGTGGTTTCTCTTCTCCACATTCGCATGTTGTGGATTCCACTTTGTGGACCCATTTCTGAAGGTTGGCTGTGCATCTCATGGTGCCAGAGTGCAGTCTGTTCAGCGCCTCCCAAGTCGCCCAGTCTTCTGTGTGCCCAGGGGGGAGTCTCTCATTGGGTATCAGCCATTGATTGAGGTTCTGGGTTTGAGCCTGCCACTTTTGGACTCTCGCTTGCTGAGGTGTTCCAGCGAGTGTCTCTGTAGATCTTAGAAAACTGTGTCTTGATTTAAGTCGTTGGCGTGCTGGCTGATACCCAAACGGGATGAGCTGGAGATGTCACTGACTTGGTCCTTTCATTATTAGTTGCTACTTCCTGGCGGATGTCAGGTGGTGCGACACTGGCTAAACAGTGTCATTTCTCCAGTGGTTTAGGGCGCAGACACCCCGTGATAATGCGTCATGTATCATTAAGAGTCACATCTACTGTTTTAGCATGGTGAGATGTGTCCCACTACACTGCCAGATAACCTGGGATAATCAGATAATCTGGGATCAGATCCTGGGATATTGGACAGTGTGGAATGGACGTCAGTCCCCCAGAACTACTCTATGATCAACTTGTGGCAAATGCTGACCAAAGACTTGCACTGAAGGACCAAGAGATTCCTAGAACAGAACAAATTAATCAAATCTGTGGACAATCAGATCCTCAAAAGTGAAACCCACGCATATGGAAGGTCGACTGTGTAATAATTGGGAAATATGTGTACTTTCTAGAGAACATATACAATACAGTCAAAATAGGGACATTCTCTAAATATATATTAACTGACCAGGCATGTATTGTGTATATTTCCTTCTGCATGTTTTGCATATGGTCGGGTTAATGTGTGGGCTGGTGCTATTTGGCTGATCAGCTCACATTCTGCTTACTTAAATTTCAAATATATTCTGATCTGGATAAATCCTCCTTTTGTGAACCTAAAAAGGCTTGTGATTGTCACTTTGCAATACTGTTGTTTGATTTTTCTTCACTACTCTGTTCCCACCAGTATACCTTTCCGTATCAAGGAGAAGCAGCAAGAATTAGAAAGAGAGAAGCTGGAAGTGAGAAACCTGGACCACTGGAAGCCTGCTCCAACTTTGCAGTATTCTTTTTTTGCAGGTTCACTAAACAGAAGATTAACTTATCAATAGTTTTAGATAAGCCATTCTTTATGCTGCATTTCACGGGGCCTAAAACATGTAACAGGTTATTTGTTATAAACTGTTATAAACCTGATCTGTCAACTGTCTTCCATGTGATCTGCAATAAAGATTTTGTGTAGGAAGGATTTTATTAATTCATACCACTTGAGGGATAAAGTTAACAAAAGTTCCTGCTTGGTTACTTTTACTGCCGTTTGGAAAAGGATGAAACAGATATTGTTGGCATTGTTGGCGGGAACGAGAGACAGGCCTTTTCTGTGGTGGCCCCTCGGCTTTGGAATGCCCTCCCCATAGAGGTGAGATCAGCCCCTTCGCTGATGGTATTTCGAAAAAGGTTGAAGACATGGATGTTTAAACAAGCATTCGATTAATCCGGTGCAACGAAATTGATGAACAAGGATTGGTTAATCACAGACGACGAGATTGGATTGCGATTATAATTAAGAGATGCATTGGATTGTTATTGGTGGCCCAATAATATTGTGTATTGTGTATGTGTTTTTATGCTTTTTTAATGGAATATTGTTGCTTGTCGTTGTGTTGTAAACCGCGTTGAGTCGCCGATTTAGGCTGAGAAACGGCGGTATATAAGCACAGTAATAATAAATAATAAATAAATAAATAGTGGGTTAAACCACTGAGCTGCTAAGCCTGTTGATGAAAGGTCACAGGTTCAAATCCAGGGAGCAGCGTGAGCTTCCGCTGTCAGCCCCAGCTTCTGCCAACCTAGCAGTTCGAAAACATGCAAATGTGAGTAGATCAATAAGTACCACCAGCGGGAAGGTAACGGTGCTCCATGCAGTCATGCTGCCCACATGACCTTGGAGGTGTCTACAGACAACGCCAGCTCTTTGGCTTAGAAATGGAGATGAGCACCACCTCCCAGAGTCGGACACGACTGGACTTAATGTCAGGGGAAAACCTTTACCTTTTATAATAATAATAATAATAATAATAATAATAATAATAATAATATACTTTATTTGTACCCCGCTACCATCTCCCCAAGGGACTCGGTGCGGCTTACATGAGGCCGAGCCCACAATACAACAATAAACAATAGCAACAGTAATACAAAACAATAAATAAACTCATAAGCAGAAAATAAGCAATAAACATTAACAATAACACGACGCATTTAAAAACCTATGGCTGGGCCAAATGTAATAATTATTTTTTTTAAAAATAATGCTGGGCATGACAAGGTGACATATAACTAGGATAGAAGTTTTGGGGAGGGATGAAATGTGCAGACAAACCTAGATCACTAGTAAAGTGTGTTTAGGGACATATTGCTGGGAGTTTCCTTATTCTAAAAATGTAAATGTTCATTTGTTCAAAATCTTGAATCTCCCCACATTCTTCACTGATTACTTTGAAATGTTGACACAACGCTGCATTCAAAAAGGCACATGTTTTTATGTTTTTACCTACCTACTATTATATAGATGTCACACCTGTGACAGGTAAAATATGCTTTTTTGGGAAAAACAGCACCATCTGTTGGATGTCAAAGCAACACACACTATACTACATATTTTACAATTCTATTTCAATGTTTCCAAATGCATTGTTACATTGAATTTCCATAGATTTCGATTTAGTTTCATTTTTATTTAATTATTTCGTGTGACATTGCATTGGAATTGAGATGTGTCTTTTACCATAGTGCTCACTCTGCCCAGATGGGGACGGGATTGTGTGGGGGCGAATGGTGGGGGTGGGCCTTGGGAGTATGCCTTCGCTTTCCCCCCTCAATGCTGCTTCTCTGTCTCAATCTGAAGTTGTGCTCGAGGAGGGCCGCTTGGCCACTCGCCCACTCAGCCAGGCCTCTTTGGGCAGATAAGGCAGGGCTCACCTTTTGAGCTCTCTGTGTTTATTTGGCTGCATGGGCATGCACATCACACCTCTCCCTAAACTTCCTATTTGATGTAACCATATTAGAAATAGGAGTAAGAAAATATATAAGAGAAATGTATGTATGTATGCATGGCCTTCACTTCACTTGACTTCTTAAAAGCTGCAAAATTAGAGAGGCCAGCATCTAGGAAAAGGAATGTCTAGAGGCCTGGCATATTTCAAGAGGCCCCATCTTGGTACCAGGCACCTTATCGTAAGACTTTAGTCGTAAGACTAATGAGGTGGTCATTAAGAGGTTTCAGGAAGACCTTATCTTAGGATGGATGGAGACTCTTGCTATCAGGTCCAGTAGACATTCTGGTGATAGTCCTCATTAATAGCAACTCTTCAGATAGGGATGCTAATGAAGATTGACAAGGTGTTGAGTTTGAAACTATGCTATTGAAGTCAATGTAAAAGTAGAATTTTGTGACGCACATTGTGATGTCTGTATGATGCATGCATAATTATTTTAAAAGGTATATAAACCAAGGATTTCCTTTGTTCTGAACCCTTCTTTCCTGGCTTACCAGGAGGGTCCATATCTGGTTGGCGCCAACCGAGAATAAAGCCGTGCTTTTCAGTTCTCAGGATCTCTCTTTGTCTCTTTTCCTCAAACCTTCTCCCTGCCATTTCACTGTCAATCATTGTCTCATTTGAGGGGGTGGGCCTTCTTCCCTCCTTCCCTCCTTCCCTCCTCCAGTGCCACCCCCACCCTCAGGAATGCCACTGTAAGTTTATTATGTACTTCATTGGGGCTCCTTTGAGCACCCTGTGTCTTTTTTTACCCCCCCCCCTTTCACACAGCTGTATACGATCCACATTGTACTGGGTTACATGGCAGTCTGGATTCAGATAATCCAGTTCAAAGCAGACATGGTGGAAGATCTACCTTGATGTTTTGGTTTATATGGTTGTAAGGAAGGGCCCTAAGTCTATACTGACATATAACCCAGTACAAAGCAGACACTGTGGATTATCTGCCTTGATATTCTGGGTTGAAGATGTCCTCATTCTTCACATTGCTCTGATTCCAATGGATATGCCATTTCAAGAGATTGCAATTCCCAATTCGATTGGCATTTGCAATCACCATCAACAAAGCTCAGGGCCAATCTTTAGAATTGTGCAGTTCAGCTCTAGACATGGTGAGCAATCTGGCTGCTGTAGCAGTAGATAGGGAGATATTACCAAGAGCGATCCTTTGTTTGGAGGTCAGAAAAAGTATGTTTATTTCCATCTGGGACTTTGGTGTACTCTCACCCGAAAGCAAACCAGAGTGAGGATAAAGGCGTTGTCTTTGCCTTTTATACCTCTTCAAATGCAGGCAAACAAAGAAACATGCTTCTTGTGCTGTCACGCGCTGGGCCTATAGCAATTGACTTTTGAACAGGACGTGCTCTTTGTGCCCAGTGGGAAGCCGGGGTGCCTCGAATGAGAGGCCCTAATATAATTTTTCTATACAGAGTCTTTAAAAGCTTGAAAAGTTTAACAAAGTCCTTTATTATTTCTTAGGTCTTCAACAAAACAATCAAATACTTCTCAGATCTTCAACAGGTCAAACAAATACTTCAAGGCTTTGAAGCAACTGGTGGCTTTCTTAATCTTGTCCACAAGGGACAGGCAACTGGCTTCATTAACTGTTTCTTTTCTTTAAGAGGAAAACCCTTTTTAACCCCTCCTTGGGCAATCTACTTTCTAAACTCTGCTGGTGTGGGCTCTACTCCCAGCTCCAAACTGCTTCTTGGGTCCCGAGTAGACCTACCAGTCAAGGCTTTGTAGATTCTCCAGCTGGAGTCCTTTGGAACTGTTTCCCCCCGGAATTTCGTAAGAAATGAAGCTTCTCTACAGGGGAAGCTGATTCATGTCCTGTAGCTAAGCTTTCAACTGTAAGACTGAGCTAAAATGGCTCCCTTTCCTTCCTGAACCCTGGGGAAAGGGGCGGAATTAAAAAACCCAACAATGATAGGCAGGTGGCTGCAAACGAGGGGAAGCCACCTTATTACAAAATGCATGGAACTTTGGAATACATGCAAATACTCAAAGAAAGAAAAGGAAGTTGGAGCTCCTGGTACAGCCGTACCAGCACACTTCTACATACATTAACATCATCACTGCATCACTTTAGCATCATAAAAATATCAAATTCTATCTTCCAACATGCAAGAGGCATGTCTATATTTTTTTCCTAAGAGCACTTCACAGCTTACACCAACCCATCAAGAGGCCTACTTTGACCTGTCAGGAGGGAGAGGGGATAGGCTCCTTACTTTTTGCTTATATCTGTTTGTACCAGGACTTTCTTATCTCTCCCTACACTGGAATGTTCACCCCCCCCCCCCCCCCGCTGTGGCTGGACACAGATACTTCTGCATTCTTTCTGGCCTGTCAGCTCGGCTTTCTAATACAGAGAGAGCCTGATTTTTCTTACATTTCAGTGCTTCTAATGTACATACAATTTATGTATAAATAAATATATATATATTTCCAATATCTCCCCATCAATTCCTGTTGGATTGTTTGAAGCTTCTGAACAGTCTTCAAAGGCAACCCCACGTAGAGCATGTTGCAGTAGTCTATTTGAGATGTAACCAGAGCATGGACTACCATGGCCAAGTCTGACTTACCAAGGTACAGGTGGAACTGGCACACAAGTTTTAATTGTGCGAAAACTCCCCTATAGCCACCGCCAAAACTGATCGATTCATGTCTGGAATTCCCTGTTTTTTGAGTGTTCCTCTTTCTTTACTGTCCTGACTTTAGAGTTTTTAGCCAGATTTTGTTCATTTTTATTGTTTCCTCCTTTCTGTTTAAATTGTCAACATGCTTGTGGATTTCAGTATTTAAAAAGCTACCAGTATTTAAAAAATGCTAAAAGCAGGACAGTAAATAAAGAGCACTAAAAACAACAACCAAAAAACAGCTTTGTTTCGTTTGGTAAAAATGAGGCCTCCAAAAAAGAATGGGGATATGAAGGGATTCTGTAACCAAATGTTTCTGGCTGCCTTAGACTTCTTCTCCGCTGCATACATTAAAAATGCCCACTTTTCAAAACCAGGAGTGAACTAGAATTAGAGCCTGCATAGCTGCCAGTTCTTGCAGTTTGGGAGAGATGGCCCTGATTCATTTTTTTTTCAACTGCTTACATCCCCACTG